AAGATGGGTGGTTCTGCAGGGTAAGTTTTCTGTTCCTGCTTTTGCTAATAGGACAAGTGAGGTTGCAGAAAAATAAATGTCAGTGTGCTTGACCATTCCATCACATACTTTGGCTTTATTTTTTAACCTCAAGTTAATAGAAAAAAAATATAAAAGAAACTAATAACTCCTACTTCTTGTTACTTAATAAGCAAAAGTAAGTGTCGCTGTCATAGCTTAGCATGTCATAGCATTAGGGAGATTGCTAACCTCTGGTGTGAATTGTCTCATAAGTGGAAAGATGATTCATCATCAGTCATGATCACATGTTTAAGCATATTTTACATTTTCTAGTGAGCTGGTTGATCTGTTCCTATGTGGTTTTATTGTCTGTTTAACACCATGGTTTTTACTCTTTTGTGCAGCTTTGTTGTATTTCAGAGGCCACAAGGTGTGGGGAGCCATACTGCCCTGGAAGATGAGAGTCATGCAGAGGAAAATGTTTATATCATGGACTAAGGACTGGATGCATGGCTGCCTTTGTCATTGCTGGGACATTAAATAGTTTGCAAAATGTTGGCTGCTCCCTCTGTTCAGCAGCTGAACGTGACTGCACTACTGAAGCATTATTCACATCCTAATAATAAAACAAATAAAAGCTACTCTTTTAATTAAAATCTTTTTCAGCCTGTTCCAGAGACAGAAACCAAAACTGGCATCAGTGGAACTTCCATTTCCTAAAGAAAGTTATGATTATATTTATTATCTGCTTCAAATTCTCGTTTCCTTTTTGGAAAAAAAAAAAAGAGGAAGTGCCAGAAGGGCACAATTGTGTTCACTGTGGATTCTATCTGCCACCTTCCACAGAGTCTGTGCCATCAGAGGGCAGAAGCAATCTCAGAGTTGTGTGACAAAGATGTCACAGGGCCAATCTTGGTAGTATTAGTAATTTAATACACACTGAGTTATATTTTCATTGAAATCAGGGATGGCCTGTTCTGGTAACAGCTCAGTAATGCAATATACTAATGCCTGTCCACCTGGGTTTAAATCTGGAGGAGCCATGGCTGCTCAGCCCCGAGGGGATATCCTTGAAGCCTACAGCATCAGCACATCAGTGGACAGAACAGTCACAGCTTGTGTACAGAGAATTATGATTAAGTGTGATGTTTTTTGGTAAAGTACATCACTATTTTTCTGTGGTTTTCTCCTCAGGCATAGCTTTACCCTGAGAAGCCCTTGGGGTGGAAAGTCTCATTTCCAAATCTCTAGAAAATCTGAACAACCTTCCCACCTACCTTTTTAAAAATAATGAAATTCTTTTCTTAGCTTGCAGAGAAATCATGGGCATTGCACAAAATATTGGCTGGAAGTTGGCCTTGCCTTCACACGTCTCTAGATATCAAACAACTCTTAATTCCTAAGAATGTTGAATGTGTTTGATGGATTTGACCTTATAGATGGGAAATATCTGTGGCCAAGTGCCTTTCCCCTATTGCTCCTCAGTTAGTGATGTGCCTCAGCTTTTATTCTCTGCAAAACTAAACTTTGATTTACTTCAAATAAATAAATAAATGGAGTCAGTCCTGTGAGTATGAGTTGCTGAGGAAGAGACACAACACACCCAAATCATCTGTAAGTGGAAGAATAATTGTCCCCAGTTGTTTATAAGAACACATTTTAAACAGAGGTTGGAGAAAGAGCTGAAAAGCAGCACAGGAGAGACCCCAACCCTTACCTTAAAAATTTTGGTCAAATCATTGCTGCCATAGGAAAAACAGATGCACCACAAACTTTCTACCATTGAGGTAATTTTAAACTCCAAAACGATTTCAACAATGCACTGAGGCATAAAGGCACAATAATAAAATCAGTGAGTATTTATGTTAACAGCTGAGACACCTGAGGCTAGGATCTGGTTGTGCTTTAGGGGGAGCTGGGGTCAGTGGAGAAGTTGTCCCTCCTTGTCCCAGCTGGTGGAGGTGGGAGGGCTTGGGCTGGCTGGGGAGGGCAGTGGTTTCCCCAGGGGTCACACAGGCTCTGGCTCAGGTGAGGTTTTGCAGATGAGTGTTCATGCAAAGACTCACAAAGAAGGGAAATGTTGGAGGTTTTTCTCACAAGCGGGACAGGACTGCTGGGTGATATGTCACAACCTTTTGTTTTGGGCACCAAACTTGTGCCACAGGAGATGGCACAAGCTCATGTCTGCCATGAGCAGCTGATCTCTTTGTTATAGAACATTTTAAAAGTTTTTCAGCCAATAGCATATTGCTAAAGCTCACAGACAATTGTTCTGTCCAATCACTAAAAGTATATGTACTCCTTCAAACAATGCTTGTTTGTTTGCTTTCTGTTTACAGTACATAATACTCTATTATTAAGCTTAAAACCTTCTACTATCTTGGTAAGCATATTTTTCTGCAGTCTTAAGTTCTATCTTGACCAAGCCTAAAAACTCAACTATTGTTTAATGTCCTTGCATATTGTATTACTGTATCTTCTTTACTTTCAGGCTTTGCGGCTGCAGCTAGTTGTAAGTTCTCTGTTTTTTCTTTTCTGAGGCCTATTTTCACAGCTTCTGAAAGTCTTCTTACTTTCACTGTTTTACACAGGAAAGGTTCATCCTGCTAAGGAAGGAAGAAATGGAAAACAAACTGGGACAGGTGACCTTGGGGTGCTTGTATTTTCACTCGTGATCTCTGTTCTTCTGGGATCTCTGTTGCAGCAGGCTGAAAAGGCTGAAATTGAAGGTGAATTCATGGCTGACTGAAGAGTGGGAGCACAGAAATTGGGTGATCACTGATCTCAGGGCCAGGAAAAGTGATGGACAAAACCAGATCTGCCATTTTCTGTCTTCACATTTGTGTAGCTTTGTGGAAGAAGGTACTGAAATCAGAAAGGACCTGCTGGCGTCAGACTGTATTTTTGCATTTGACTATCAATAACAATTATTAACCCAAAGTCTCTGCCCCTGCTGCAGGTGTTGCTTTCCTTCTGCCCAGCTGAGCATGTTGCTGCTGCAGGCTCCAGCCCATGAGAGGAGCTGGAGGAAGTCTGATCTGGTCTCTGAACAGGCTCTCAGGAAACATCTTCAGCAATTTCTGCTTTCTGCAATTTTATGTAATCAGTCTCTACTGGGGTCAGAATTAGACATGTGTGGGATCTCCAAAATCATCTGATTTCAACTTCCTATGCTCTTATGGAGTTTGTGGGCCAGCCTTAAGACTCCTAATCATAAAAGATGCTTGTCCATAAGGACTTTTATATTAATATTAAAGACTAATTCAGGCTAATTCTTACTGGTTTTAATGTAATTTTTTTTTAATTAAAAAAAAAGTTTTTAATGTAAAATAAACTTCTAGAGTATCTGATAACCAAAATCTTGAATCGAGCAAAATCTTTCTGCTTTGTAACTGCTTGGTAAATAGACTTTGCAAAGGTTGTGTGTGGAGCAAGAGCTTTGCCTTGGGCACATCCACAAAGGCAGAAGCTCCCTGGGCTTCTCATTACCTGCACTTGTGTCAGTGGATCTTGGAACTGGCATTTCAAACTGAGCCTGCGAGACAAGCAGGTGGCACTTGGAACCCATTCAGCCATCAGGAGATTGTCTGGCAGCACACTGAGCTGATGAGGCTGATGGGCTGAAAACTCTCTTTTTTGAGACTCCTCTGCCTTTCCTACCTGCACGAAGCCACTAGATAGCAGTAGAGAGGCAGAGAGTGACCCATGGGTCTGTGGTTCTTCCCAGCACACTTGGATTTTGGATGGCCTTTTCCAGTGCACTCTGCTGCTGTTGGCCCAGCCTTGCTATAAAAACAAAGCTGATGGGATGCTGTGCTCATCCTGTGCCTTTCCTGGTTGCCTGTGACATACCGTCCAGTCCTGTCTGGACAAGCTTCATGGAAATTTGTAGCTGAATAATGACCCAAGTTTGTGCCTCAGGTGAGATTCAGCTGCTGCCTGCACTGGCATCAGCTGAACATCAGCTCACAGCCACTGCTGGGTGGTGAGTAATGCGAGAAACTGTGATCATTGAAGGGAAAAAATCTCCAGGATATTGGATGCCTCAGGTTTCATTAGTTCTGTTCACAGAGCAGCTGTGCCATTGTATGAACTGTACCTGGTAGAATATTGGTATTTTACTCATTGCCTTTACTGCTAAAATTTTATTTGCTTTTTTCAGTGCTAGCAAGCAGAAGGGTGATATTTTCATGGGCTTGACTATCATGATAAGCCCAAAATCTCATTACTTAAAGTGTAATGCCTGGTTAAAAGCCCATCATTTTATCATTTGAGCTTGGAATTGCACTCCAGTTTGCACTGCGCTACATTTATTTGCACAGAATTTTGTCTATCTGCAATTCTTCATTCCTGACCTTACTGTCCTGAATTACTTTTGCTTTATTACTCAGCTGTTTCAGAGAAGAACTTCCAGAGAACTTATTTGTCAATTGGTCAGAAAGAAATAAAACAGTCAGAAGGAGTGAAGTATATTTCTTGAAGATGATGTTGCATTTCTTTGGGAAGGATGTGGTTTTGACAACAAAACATTTGCAACTTCCTCCAAAGCTATCTTTGCAAACAGAAAATACAAAGTTGGGGAAAGAGAGGGGTCTTCAAGCAGAAGGCAGAAGCATGGGAAATGAGGGATTAGACAAATGTAAGTGAAGAGAAAGTCTGAGGGGAGATTGTGCCAAATATTTAGGGGTGTAAAAGCACAGAATTTGTTCTCAGGACCCTGGAACAGAAGGGGGCCTTTAAAGTTCCAGGCAATGGCAAAGCAAATAGAATATTGAAATTTCTGGTGATAATATCATGCTGAGTGTCTTGGAAGAGGAAAGGTGAGAAGGGCAGCCTGTTCCAGAGTTTACTGCCCTCTTGGTAAACACTCCCCAATGTCCAGTGTAAACCCCCCTGGTGAGCTTGGAATCATCCCCACGTGTTCTGTCAGTGGATACCAGGGAGGAGAGATCAGCACTTCCCTGTCCATGTCCCCTCCTCAGGAAGCTGCAGAGAGCTCTGAGCTCCTCTCAGCCCCCTTTTCTCCAGTCCTGGATCCTCAGCTGCTCCTTGACGTTCATTCCAGCCCTTGCCACCTGCTCAGCTGGCCCCATCTGGGTACATTTAAGTACCTGAATGTCCTTAAATGGTGCAGACAGAGCTCCAAGTGGGGCTGCAGCAGCGCTGAACACAGTGGGAGATTCCCTCTTTGGCCAGTTCCTATCCGGAAGCGTAGGAAAGAAACGCAGCGTGTAAAATCTGGAAATGGAGAAATGAGACTTCAGTGGGACTCACTCAGCGCCTCTGGAAAGGAAAAGATCTGGTTTTCTCTTCTTCCACTTGCTGTCCTGGTGTCTCCGTCAGCCAGAATGTCCCATTTTGTGCTGTTTCACTGGATGATGATACAGATCTTTATAGGTGAGTCTTCAGCTGGTTTTTGTGCATTTGCTCAGGAAACTAACTTTTCTTTTTTTCAAATGAAAACCAGCAACACTTGTTTTGTGAAAACTGAACAGTGAAAAAGATCATAATTGTATATAGAACTTAAAATTTTTTCTTAATTTACTGAGTTAATACTGCTTGAGGTTTGCGGTTTTTTCACTTCTAAAAATTTTTGCAGTTTCTTCTGTGTTAGTGCCCTTGTTCTCTTCCCTTGCAGAGCTCCTGAAGGATGAGAATGGCTTTTTGTTACCTGCTTTTACCTCAGCTCCATGCTGAGAATGTGTTGTCTTGAGGTTCAATAGTGAGTTAAGTGCTTATTTTCTGTTTATAGTCATATCCTCTGCAATCTCATCAGCAGAGAAGCTTCAGTAAGGAAAAAAAAAAGAAAGGATTGATAGGGCAAAGATTTCAAATATCTTCTGTGAAGTAGGAAAATTATTCCAGGAATAGATCAAGGGGGAAAAAAATCTTATCAAACATTTGTCTTTGCTGGAGGATGAACGTTTTTGTCCATCCACTGACCACTTTATGGGAGAGAAGACAACTACAAGAGCAACTATTGGAATTACTGCTTAGTGCCAACTGCCTCTGAGGGTGGGTTTGAGAGAGACTGTACACAAATATGAGTATACCTGTATGATCTAACCAATTATGAATACCTCTTTCTATTTTGGATGGGATATTAAACATCTGGAGTCCATTTCTCTCTCACTGATGAAAGACTTCGAGTGGCAAACCTAACAGACTCCAGTGGGAACACCCAGGCAGAACCTTGGGTCAAATCTGGATGCCTGGAAAATCAAGGCCTTGGAGAAGGGCAGGATTCCCTTCACAGCAAGAGCAGGGTTTCAGGAAGCTCTTAATTTCAAAGACCTGTTAATTCCCTCCTATTTACTATTTCCTTTGGAAAATGTGTCTATAGAAGAGGCTGCACCTGAGAAGTAAGTTATTTATTCCTTGCAGAGGTTCATGCTGCTGAATCCAGGCTGCTGCAGCATTGAAGCTCTCCTTGCCAGCCTGCAGTGCAGGCAGATGTTGGCAACATTAGCTTCACACAAATTGAAAGAGGATTTGAAACTGCAAAACCTGTAACTTTCTAGCAGGACTACTAGAGGGAAACGTCACTCAAGACACTCTGATGTCTTGTGTCTTTCCTCTTCCTCTTCTAAATTATTTACTGATTTATTTACTAAGTTTAGGGCTCTCTTTCTCTCAAAGAGAAGAGCAGGCAAATTTTCATTTTTTAAAGGGTTGCTTTCCAAGGCTATTTTTGTGCTGTGCAGAACTGGGCTGAAATAGCAGAAGATGAACCCATTTCTTCTCAAGCAGTGACCTGAATTCTAGCAACACATCTTTGTTGGGGTGACTTGAAAATATGTGTTAACCTGCTCATGACTAACCCCTTGCTCCCACATAATACTTTCAAGATTTCAATGCTGCATGTTCTGTCCTCATAGAGAGAGGCTGTTTTTTCTGTTTTGCTGTTTCAAGGCAAACAAACCTTCCCTTTCCAGGGGCCAAAGCCACCATCTCACAAAGCCTTATCCTGTATTCAGGAATTCAGTTTCTGGCATATCCTGCCTTCATTTCACTGCAGAAGCTCCTGCCCTTCAGGCTGTATTGCCTGTTGTTTTGTCTGCCTCTATTCTTTCAGCATTTGGAGCTGTGGAAACCTGAATGGGTTGGCTTCTCTTGCCAGTGGGATAAGCAATAATGGATCTGAAATGTCATCCCAATAACAAGTCATGAGGCAGCCTGCCACAGACTGAAGCCTCACCTAGGGAATAGTCCATTAAAGAGAAAACAAAAGAGACACGGACACAGTTGGAAGCATCTGTTTGCTATCTGGGAGTGGTGCCAAAAAGGAAAGGCATTCAAACAGCTGGCAAAATAGAAATGTTTGGCAAACCAGGGCTGGAGCTGGTGATAATAGCAGTGGCAGCAAGTCCTCTTTGGGGTGAGCAAGCTGGCCATGAGATATCAGATCTGCAGGGTTGGAGGACAGGTCTGGTTGCTGCCCAGGTCCCTCAGTTCCTGCTCCACAGTGTGTAAATGATAACATGGGGACAAAGGAAAGGTAGGAAGACTCATACAGACCAGGTGAATGTGAACCAGGAAAGATTTATTCCTGTCTGGGAACTGTTTTTGTATAGTGACTTTTGTGAAGAAGAAATCTCTTTTAAGGCAATCTGGGAAATCATAAACAGTTAAGAGGGAATAAAATATAGCAAAGATTCAGATCAGATGCCAAGATGGACACTGGCTGTAAACACCAACTAAAGCTGGTCACTAAGAGTAAGAGGACAAGGGAAGCATGTATGTGCCCTGTTTAACATCAATATGACACCAACAACTAAAGCTTCTGTGCAGAGAGTTCCACAAGGTAAGTGGGATGAGTTGGCAGGGCTTGCTCAGTGCACTTTCTGAGAACAGGTTCCTACAGACAGATCCCACTGCTCTGCCAGCTTAATTAGGCCCTAATTTCACACATGAAAAGGTATTTTGGACCCTGCTTTTGAGACAGTCAGTGAAAGGCAACTGTGACAGCATTTCCTTTTCGAAGGAGGTGATGGTGGGCTGGGAAAACCAGATGTTTTTCACAACAGGGTTCTGAACAACTTTCAAACAGCCTCCCAGGAGAGGAGATGGGAAGGGAGCAGGGTTTTCAAATTCCATTTGCAGAGGTCCCACCTGTGCTTGGGCTGTCAGCGACAGACCCCAGCTTTGCTCACCACATGTCTGATGCATTTTGTGAGCCTCCCTCCGGCAGCTGGCCAGGACCAGAGCAAGGAGCAAAGCAAAGAGAGCTGTTGTCTGTAGTGCCTCAGGCCATCAGCTGCCACAGGCTCCAGGAGAAGCCGTGGGGATCAGCAGCTGCGGCCTGCCTGCGGGCAGGAGCGTTTCTTCTCACGCTGCTCACTCCCTGTGTTGTGTGGGCAGAGTCACCATCAGAGACACACTCAGCTCTCCTCGTTCTCCCCTGCAGCACACACGGTGTCTGAAGCAGTTGTGAGAGGAACAACAGGACGACCTGTGACACTGCCCTGCTCCTACCGCGTGACGCGGCGCTCGGGCATCTCCGACATGTGCTGGGGCAGAGGCCCCTGCCCCAATTCAAAGTGCAGCAACAAAATTTTGCACACCGCTGGCAGTAAGGTGACGTTCAGAGCGTCGCAGAGGTACAACCTGCACGGCTCCGTGTCCTTCGGGGACGTGTCCCTCACCATCGGGGCGGTGAAGGCGGAGGATGCGGGCATTTACTGCTGCCGTGTGGAGATCCCCGGCCTGTTCAACGACATCAAGCGGAACATACGGCTGGAGGTGGCCAGAGGTGGGTCTGGGCACCTTGGGGAGGTCCCCAGCACGGAGAAAACACTCCCTGGGTAGTGAAAATTGGGGTCTATGTGTGCTTTTTCGGTTTGTTTTGGCCAAAGGTGTTTTTCCCAAATTACGTATTTTTCAAGAGAGATCCGCAACCGGTTGCCAATTTGAGTCACAGTCAATGTGCGGTTTAGATTAAAAAAACCCCTAATTTTACCCTTTTTTTACCTTACAAATGAATATTTCATTTCTTGTTGTGTTTCTCTGCTTGACTTTTTAAAAGATGATGGAATTAAAAAGGGATTTATAATTTAAAGAGCCCTTGGAATGAAATTCAGTTTCTCATTTGGCGTTCACCCCAACACTGAAAAAACTTTTGTTTTATTCATGTCATAAGGAGACACATTAGGATGACCCACCCTTAAGGGTGCTTCCTTCCCCTTAAGGGTGGGTCCTCAACATCCACATATTTGGAAATTTTGCCTCAGAGTCTTGAAGGTCTTCTTCCCCTTCCTATTATTTTTCTGAGCTGCAGGATAAAGCAAGGTCTCTCACAGAAAAGAAAGAGATGATATCCACCCTCCACAAAGCAGAAAGATAATTTTTCTCTGGCTTTCACAGAGTGCAGTTGGTGTTCACAGCACATTTATTTGTCTTTTTTAAGCAATACAACAGGAGAGAGGGTGAAAAACACTGCAATTGCTTGTCTGCGTCTGAGGCTGAGGGCAACACTCCATGAAAGAAGTACCAGTTGCAGAGATTAGCAAGAAGATTGTAGCTGAAAAACCAAGCTGTTTTATTTACTGTATTTTTATGAGGATATTGAAAAGCAAAATAACAAAGTTTTCAAGCTTTGGGGTTTTACCACACAGGGTTCTGACCCTTAGAATTCTACAAGAGGGTTAAGGAGGGGGTGTTTGAGACTGGTAAAAGAAAAGCAAATCTGTAAATCTGTATATTTCTCTGATTGTGCTTTCAGCTAATTAAAATAGCTTTATGAATAGTAACTCTCCCAACTTCATTGTTAGCATTTTAGCAGCCAAATAATTTTTATTCATTTCTGCATTGGCTTCCCTCAGGGTTGGTGAATGCTCTGACCGTGCTTTTCCCTTGGCTGTGTTTTTTCCATGCAGCCCCTCCGGTGACCACCACAACCACCACCACCACAAAAGATCCTGTTTTCTCCAAATATATTACAGAAACAACTTTTGCTCCTCAAGCAACCTCTGATCTCCAGCCAACACCAGAGACTGCAGTCTGGCTGACAAACAGCATCCTTCTACCAGAAACCACAGCTCCCGAGTCTCCAACAGTGACTACAGGGGAGATCTCTTCTCCCTCAACAGTTGCTAGCACAGAAAATGACATTTTTCCTGTAACTATGGTGGAAACGAGTGCTCCCCCAGATTTTCCAACTACTTCCCAAGCAGCTGATGTGATGACTGAAGATGTCATGTTCTGCTCCACACTCCCTGGAAGTACAGAGGGTAACCGGCACCAATCCTTTCCTTTTTCTGTGTAGCAGAGATAGTCTGTGCTAGTCTGGCTGGCCCCACAGAGACTCTTCAAATACTTATATTTATACCTGGGAAGTTCTCTCTGTAAATGCCTGTGGGTGTGTTTCAGGGGGTTTAGGCAAACACAGATCAGATGTTGTAGATGATGCTAAATTGGGGTGAACAAGGCAGCAGAGGGTCAGGCTTCCTGCAGAGGAGCTTTAACATGGAGAAATAATGTGCCAGAAACTTCAAAGTACAACAGAAATAAATGCAAAGCCCAGCACCTGAGGTGGAGTACCAGAGATTCACTTAACTGTGCACTAATTTTTTTCTTGATTTGGGAAAGACAATTGAAATTGCCTGGTAAAAAGTTTAGTTTAGAGTATGTACTGCTTGAAAAATAGTGAGAATTCAAAACATGTTTAAAATTGAGTATTTACATTCTCATCTCATATGAAGGCTGCTGCTGTTGTTAGTGATCAGGGTGACCTGTTATCAAACCATTTGTAGGTTGCTACTTTATCCACATTACTGACTTAATATCCACAGATTGATGTCTGCACAAGTTTGAATGCTGTGTGGAGACCCTTCTAATTAGTGATCTTTATAAGCTTTACTTTTAATTTTGTTTCAGTGACTTCTGAACTCCCAGGTACACTTCCAGCTTCAGTGATTACTGAATTCCCAGGTACACTTCCAGCTGCAGAGGAAACCACCAGCTCTGTCATGATGGAAGAGATGTCAGTCATGGGTGAGTAGGATAACATTACAAGGTCAGAAGTTGCTTGCTCACAGAAATTAAAAAGTTGGCAGAAACAGGAGTGTTGAGTGTTCTTAAGAGTGCACCAAACCCGTACTGATAGTTATTCTTTGCAGCTGGCATTGAGAAGTATCCAGGATTGACACAGAAATAGTTTGAAATCATAATGTAACAACAGCCGAGAAAAACATGTTTTTATACCTCCAAAGGAAGTTGATTTTGAATAACTCATGACTGTCATGTATCTCAGAGCTGAGAGAAGTCAAAAACTGAATTTTTCAACATCACTGAATTCTCAGATATCTGATTTGTCATCACTATGAGCTCACTGAGATTAGATTGGATATTAAGAAAAAACGCTTCTTTATGAGGCTGGTGAGGCCCTGGCACAGGTTGCCCAGAGAAGCTGTGGCTGTCCCATCTCTGGAAGTGTTCAAGGAAAAGTTGGATGGGGCTTGGAGCAACCTGGGACAGCGAAGCTCTCTCTGGGTTTTCCTGTTTCTTGATGAAGGCTGACATTTTCCCCGGCTTCCTCAGCCACCACTTGTGGTGGAAACTGATCATTCTCCTTTGGTTGCAAGGTGCTTTTGCCCTTCTCATTCCCTGAGAGTTCAGTTCTTCTTGACTGAAGTAGTGAAAGCCACTGCAGCCCTCACTCCTTCAGGTGACTGTGCCAGAAATAATTTCAATCTTTTTCATTTTCAGAGGTTTCAGCAAATTCAGATGGCAGTGCTGGGAAACATGAAGATAGACGAGATAAGGTAAAACCTCCTGTAAGTTTCAAGAGTGTTTGGGTAGAAATCAGTCACTACAGCAGGACATGCTAGTGATTTTCAGTGTATTCATACTACAGAAATTGCTTTTGCAAACAGTGGCTTGAACTTTTATTTAGAAGCTCAGGTACCACCTGTTCCTCTTTTCAGTGGATAGAGCCAAAGCCTGAGCATTCCATCTGACTTGGACACTTCAGAAAAAACTCATCCCCTAGCATCCCTGTGAGAGAGAGGAGGTAACACCCTCAGGGTGTGAGCAGGCAAAATGCAAAGTTAGGAGGGCATTACACCTCCCTGTCTCAAAGAGAAGGATGGGGGTGACTGAGGTCCTACTTCTACTTTGAACACCTCATGGAGAAGTTCATGTTAAACGGGATGAATCTGGTTTCAGTATCTCAGAATAAGGTTTATTAAGTACTGAACAGGTAAATTAAGTTGTTTATCAGGATCAGCTAGATGTATCTTCTCAACACTTTATACAGGCAAGCTCAGAACAGTATTTCTAACTGCAGCCCAGTGCTCTGAGCCACCAGTGCAGCCCCTCCTGTGCAAGTAGCTCTAAGACAAACCTGCTCCCAAAGCCTTTTCAGTTTCCTTCTTCTCCCTTCCAGTTTCCCAGCTCTGCCATTCTCATTGCCTGTGTCATAGGGGGGTCAAGCCTTCTCATACTGATGATCTCGTTGGTTTGGAAACGTAAGTATCCTTCAGCTAAATGATTCTAATGCTGGCCTGATGCACATGTCCTCCTGAGTCCCTGGTTGTTCTGGGAACTCTGCCATGGTCCTGCTGACAGTGCTGTGTTCATTTTGTGGGAGTTGCTGTCCTTACTCCAGGACTGTGGCACCATCAGGAGGCCAGGGAGGATGAGTTGGTGAGGATGCAGCAGGAGACAGGCTGTGCAAAGAATCTGTTCCCTCACTGGTTGCAGGGCTGGCTCATCCTGTCTTTTTATACTTAAGTGGCCCCATAGTTTCCTGGAAAAGCTCCCAAAAGACACTGGTGTAACTGAAATCAGGATGGGATCCTTTCTTTCCTGCTTAGCCCACAGAAACTTTGCAACTTGCTGTCATTGCTTCTGAGCTCATTTGACAGATACATTAGAATTATAGATTTTGTTTTGCCATTGTAACATTAATATTATTTTGCTTCCAGGTAAACAGGCAAAGAAGTTTACAGTAAAAAGGTAATCCATTTTGTAATTTCCTATTAAAAGTTCCAGTGTAATTTTTCTTAGAGACAGGAAGGTATTGGCCACTGATTGTAATGGGTGCAGTATTGGCTTGTGGTGCTGATTACCAAAGTTGTATTTGGAGGAAACTTCAGGTAACTTCACTCCAGAAATTCAGTAATGGTTCCTGGATGCTGCTTCCACGTAGGAATGAACAGAAACCCAGAGCAATGGAGAAATTAAGGAACTGTTACTGCAGTGTAGTGACTACAGCTTAAGGAAGTGCTTCATCTGCTTTTATTTTTGATTGAGTACCAGGACATGATACCTTGTGCAAATGTAATTGATAAGTTCATATTTTCTGGCCTATGTTGAAAAAAAATAACTTCCGTGGACAAACCACAGGGGAATCCAGTGAAGTATCACCCCTTTTCCAAAGACCAATAATTTTTCAATGGTAGCTGGTCCTTCACTGCTTGCTCTACCTGGGAGACAGGGACTGGGGAGAGACTTTTCTGAATCCCATGGTGGTTACCCTACAGCTGCCTTTACAGGGTTTAAACAACCTTTTCCTATCCATGAGAAGAATGCAAGCCAGGTAAATACCTCCCTGGTGTAAAAAGCAGGAGTCACTTCATTGCAGTCATTGGACTCAGTAGCTTCAGGTTTCCTCTTTCATGGGAATTTGCTGATGTTACAAATGAAAAATAATGCTCTAAAGCAGTAATGTCCTTTTTCCCCATCCATGGTGATCACTGCAGTGTTGGACCACCAGAAGAGACAGACAAAGTTTTCAGTGGTGCTGAAGGAGAAAACAACATTTTTTCCCTGTGAAGAGCTCCTACATCATCTGCAGATGCCATGGGAAATAAAAAGGGCCTGTTCCATGCTGCACTGAGAGATACTTGTGAGCCCTCAAAATATCAGTGGGTATAAAACAAAGGCCAAAGCTTCAACTATGAAAATTTAAAATCTTTGTGCAAATTTTCCCATGTCACCCTTAAAACTCATTGCATAAAGAAGCTTATTTGAGAAGGGGCTTTATGCATTATTCATGGATGCTTCTGGCATCTGCCTTCTTACTAACACCATGTTGCACAATTGAATTCATTTTTCTCCATTTTTACTAATGCTCTTCCTTGAATGCAACTTGTACTGTGAGGAACAGCAAAGATCACATGGAAGGCTGCCTATCTTCAAATTCCCATAAAGAAAGAAAAGGAATCATAAAATACAGTTTTTAATGCTTTTATGTAATCAACAGAAAAATTAGGCTACAAGAATGCTGCGAGTTTAAATAAAAATTGCAGATTATTTAAGGGGTATCACTACTGCCTGTGATTCAGCATATTTGAATAACCCTTGGAGAATATATTAATAAACTTTGTAATTTGTCGCTGGCAATTGGACTTTTTATACCATTTCCTGAGGCATTTCAACAGGAGTTAGTTATTTCCCAGGTGTGGAAATGACTGGTGTGCCGTCTCAGCTCTCCAAAGAAATACTGCAGCATTTGCAGAGGTGGGAAAACACCCAAAAGACCAACCTGGAGGGAAATTTCTCTACCCTGCCTCCACAAATCCCTGTACCACTTATTTCTAAATCCATTAAGGAAGAGGGATTGTCCATGGAGGCTGGGGCATCATTGATGGGATGTACTGCAGAGCTTTTGTGTAATTCCCTGGGGTCCTCAGCCATCCTGCTGCACTGACTTTGGGAGAAGATCCCAATCCATGACAGAGTTTGTTCTCCCCACTGCCTGGAGCTCATCAGTGCTTGCCATGGCACCTCTGGGCAATGAGAGCCTGAAGTAAGAGCACATTGTGGGAACAGCATTGGATCAGAAGCCAGCAGGGTCTGGCAGCTCTGGGTTTCCCCGCTGGCTGTGCTCAGGGCTGTGGTGAGACTGTTGAACTCTCCAGTGTCCTCTCACAGGCGGCGAGCTGGGGCAGGCAGGGGAGGTTCCTCTTTGGGATCTTTCTCTGTCTCATCTGGGTTCAGAGCCCTGCCCTGCACCCCGGTCTGGTGGGGCTGTGGGAGGCACAGGAGAGTCCCCAGATGTTGGACGTGGTCTGTGGGCTCCCAGGCTGGGTTTGCTCAGCTGACATCTGTGTCTGTGCCACACCAGTGACTGTCACCACCCCAACACTGAGCACAGAGACCTGGCATCTGTCACTTCTAGGCATGAACCCACACAAACCTGCATGGAATAAAAGGAAACAAGCAACAAAGGAAATCCCAAACAATTCTGATGTACTCCTTTGAAAAAGCCAAACTTTTCTTTATGCCCTTTTTTTCTCCCACCTAATTAAACCTGCTAATTAAGTCAACAATATCTCCAATTGGCAGAGTTGGGCCAATCCTTTTGCTCTTACTAATTAGCTCTTCACTAATGACTTCTTTACAGCAGAGCTGGCTCTCACTTGGGAAGGTTCTAGAAAATTTGCAGTGGTGCTGGCTGGACTTAAAAGCCCTGGTTTTGGGGAGTTGCACAAGGGGAGAAGAGATGGGAGCCAACAAAGTGAGTTTGATCTGATCAGCCATGTGGAAATGCAGCCCTGAGAAGCTGCAGGGTAGCTGTAAGTGTAACTTATGCCACTGAGAATTCTTATTTATCTTTTTATTCAGCCCAATTATTGAGGCAGAGCCTTGGGTTTAGAGTGGCAATTGGAAGCAAGGATTTGGGGAGGGTTTCCTTTAAATGAAAATTCATTGAAGTTATTTGTGAGGACTCAGGCTGTCAGTATGTTCAGGGAAAGGTTAAAGTGAGCCTTTTAAATGTAGCTGGAGGAAATGCTGCTTTCCAAAAGCAACAGAAGGCCCAGGATGCAGTCTCTGGGTCTAGAGGAGAAAAGCTGGAAGAAAGCAGAAAGTCTTTAGAAAGAAAAGGCTGTCAGAGAGGACATCATTGGCATCTGGAAATGTTGGCCTTTATTTTTAAGACTTTTACCTTGGAAGGTAAAAATAATATACTCGAGTAAAGATAAAGCACTGTAGCCAAAAAACCCTCTGGTATGGAATTAAAGCAATACATGGGGCAAAGGAGCAAAGCTATTTGCTTTAAAACCACCCTTCATTTTCCCAAAACTCCAGTCCCTCCATCCTGGCCTCCCACCATCTCTCAAACTGCCAAGCACCACGAACTGAAATCACCCAGGTCTGAGGCCTCTCCCCAGCACTTGGAGCTGCTGGAGTTATCTCAGCATTTATGGACTTGCACAGGGAGCCTGTGGCAGAGCAAAGCAGGTTTTAATTTGTTTAGAGTCCATGTCAAGCCTAAATGTTGTTATATCTGGAGAGTGTGTCTCAGCTCTGTGGAGCAAAGCAGTTAATTAATGAAGGATTTAGCTTTTGGTCCAAGTAATGATTTTTATGGGTCCCCAGTACTTTGTGGACAATTGTCTGTATCAAAATGACTGATTAAAGATGGTAAAGGAGGTCTGACATGAGGAGATAATGACTGAACTGCCAGATTAGTATGGAGGAGGTACAGAAAAGCAATTAAAAAGGGAGATCTGAATATTTTGGGATATGGGATTGCCTAATGAGGAAACAGAAGGAAATACTGAAAAAAAAAAAGGGCAAGCATTGACTTAGGAATACAAATCCTTTAAAGAGAAACCAGAGGAATGAATTAAATATAATTTTGAGTTTAATAAGAGACCTCTCTTAATAGACTTTATTGGAGCTGACTGTTCTGATGGTCTCTTTCCATCTCAGCAGCACATTTCATTATGTTTCCAGGTTTGTTTCTTTGCCTTAATGTGCATTTCCAGGCATTTTTTAAGGTTAATATAAAAAAATCTCTTGGTTTCAAAGGTGAAATGTAATTGGGGCTTAAGAAAGAGCAAGCAGAAGGGAAGAATGTGGCTGAGTACATAGGAAATTAGAAATAAGAATAAATAGCATCATGGGACTTGGGGAAAGAACAGAGATAACCACACAGTGTGAGATGAATGCATGAAAAAGTGGAAAATTTTAGCTCGGTAGAAAGAGGAAATGGAACGTGCTGCCACAGACATGACAGCAGATGGCAAAATTGAGCTGCAAAGACTGAGCAGAGAAACATCTGGAGAGGCTGTAAAGTGATGCAGATTTGCTGACACCGAGCAGAATCAATGCAGCCTCCTCCAGTGGTGATGGAGGTCCCAGCCAGGAGTTCAGCTCATGGGCTGAGCTCATGGCTCCAGGGAATGCTTTCAGCACACTTGGTCTGGGCTCTGGTGGTCTCCAGCAACACAATTTCCAGCCAGTCTCAGTAACACCCTGGTTTTCTTGTGCTCCTGAGGCTGTGGTGACCATGCACTTCTTGGTTTCCTCTTCCCACTGCTGCCTAACCCCAGCTGGGAGCAATGTGGTTTTGGTTTCTCTTGCTAATTTAAAACACAAACCCCAAGACTCAGCAGCTCCTGCAATCACACTGTGGTAACAGTGACCTGGGAAAGGAAATGTCAGCCCTAAACAATCCCACAGCTCATCTCAGCACCCACTCCCTCCTGCCATCCAGCAGGACAGGGGCTCTTGGCAAGGAGCCCTCCAAGGAATCACTTTGGAGTGTTTAGGAATTAAGAGAACACTGTGATTGGAGTGGGGTTTTCCACAGAGGACCCTCATCTCCTCACCCTCATCTCCTTACCCTGTGGTGTAGAGTCCCAGAACCAATGAGGTTGGCAAAGACCTCCAAAATCATCGAGTCCAACCCACGTCTGATCCCCACCTTGTCACCCAGAGCAGAGCACTGAGGGACAGTTCCTTGAACACCTCCAGGGATGGGGACTGTACCACCTCCCTGGGCAGCCCCTTCCAATGCCCAACAGTGCTTTCAGTGAAGAAATTCTTCCTGATGTCCCATCTGAACCTTCCCTGATGCAGCTTGAAACCATTCCTTGTCCTGTTGCTGGTTTTCTGGGGGCAGAGCCTGATCCCCACCTGGCCACAACCTCCTTTCAGGGAGCTGCTGAGAACAAGAAGGTCCCTCCCGAGTCTCCTTTGCTCCAGGCTAAACACCCCCAGCTTCCTCAGCCTCTCCTCATAGGACTTCTTTTCTAAGCTCAGCTAAAGAGCTCCAAGTAGTTTGAAACTGAGACAGGAAAGACCATGAGGACACTGGGAAGAGAGAGGCAAATTGGGGTGTGCAGATACCAATGGAAGGACTGGGGAGAAAGGTGTTGGGAAATAATCTCTGGTGAAAGTTCATTGCCTTTCTTTAGTCTTTCAAGCACTGACCCTTTTCCAAGGGGAAGGGAAATCTACCACTTCCACAAATATTTTTTTTATTTTAATTTAGGAGAAAAGAAGCTGAATTTTCTCTGATTATTTTGAAATGCAGCTTCTTTTTTTAAGTATCTAGAAAAACAGTAAAATTTTGTGGGGGTGTGGTTTGGAGTTTTTTTGGGGGGAGTTCTTGTTTTTTTTTAAACCTAGGTGGGTTTTTTTTATACTTAAGGAGAAGAGGTGTATGGTAGGTAATCCAAACTAGGGAATAAATCCTATCTGTGGTTATTTTTTCTAAAATAAAGTATATTAAGGCCTGACTCTGTTATCTCATATACATATTCTGTAGTTCTACTGATGTAAGTATGCACTGCATCCTGGAAGGTAACTCCTTTTCATGCTTAAATGCACATCTAATGAAGATTCATGGCTTCAAAGGTGCTCTCAAGCACTAGGGCTGGTGTCATCCTTAACTAAACCATCCAGTAGTTAATAAACATCCCACAATCATCTGCATATTTAATGCAGGACAGAGAATTTTATGGAACAATCTCTATCTTTTAATCCAGCGATGCATCATTTATGGGATTTTGGATTATTCACTTTGTGCTGAATTAAGTTGTCTCTTTTCACCAAGCGAGCCCCCCAACGTGGGCTGTGTCACTGGCCAGGCTGCCCAGTGATGGATGATGCTGGGATGAATTATTTATTGGCCATTTTAGATCACTTGCCCAGCAGTGAACTAAGCCAGTTAATTTTACATCTGTTCATCTCCATTCCTAAGTGCACAAAATGATTTCCATGTACATGAAATTCATCTCACTTCCTTCCTCCCCCTCCTTCCAGTGCCCTGGTGAGTTACCCATGAGGTTTGGGTGAGTTTGGGACGCAAACTGTCCCTTAGGGGGTGTGGTGACAGTGTCCTGGTGTGGGGGGCTGTTTGTCCAGGCTGGTTCTGGTTCTTCAGCTCTCACTTGTGCCTTACTTTAAAAGCTTACTTTTAAATGCATGTGGTACAATCCTCTTTAGTCCACAGAGCTGTGCAGAGAGAGTGTCAATGGAGCCAGTTAGGGTGAGGAAACTCCTGGAGGCTGTAATGATCAAGCACTGATTTGTTTTTTTAATTATTTTAAGTTTTATTTCTACCTGTAACCTCAGCCAGTACTTGGGCAGAGCCCTCTCCCAGGGCT